GAAACAATAGGTGATGTGTATGAACATATGAGTATGACATGTGCACACAGTTTATGTACCAGACCACTGCTAAAGGATGTCCTAGTAATACTTGGTTTTTGATCTTTCTCCCAGGAGACTCCATCCATGATGGAGCTCTTCTGAAATCCACTTCAAGGACTTGAAGACATACCCAACTATATAATCTGCTATTAAATTTTTTTTTCCTGAAACTTCGAAATTCACTTAAACTTCACTTACCCATAAGAGGGCACTCTACTAATTCTTCCCTAGGCTGCTCTCATCTATCTTGTTCTAGTCGCAGTTACAAAAAAGTGAGGAACAAGAGGTCATCCTTAACATGAATTTCTCATCATATCCTAGTGTCATTTTCTAAACAAGTTAGAGTCCGGATTCTGTATTACCAACAGTCCTCCAACATCTTGTGAATTTGATGTTGAAGGATCCCTCAAGGTACAGAATGCTAACATAGAGGATCTTAGCAGCAAAACAAATTTTCAGTAGTTATACAATAGCATCACCTGAGGAACCTTTAACAATAAAAACATTAGGGCCCCATCTTCAAAGATTCTTTTTTAAAAGTTAGGGGTTGGTATATATGAATATAACATGTATACTAGGCCAAAATTATTATGGTAGAACTAGGAGAAAGAAGATAAATGCAAAATAAATGTAAGTATTGCTTTAATATATTAAGGATGGAGTAACCAATTTAATAAATTAACAAACTGCTGGGCGCTAGTGGCTTATGTCTATAATTTTGGCTACTTGGGAGACTGAATGGATTGCAGTTAAAGGCTAACTCCAGCAGAAAAGTCTCATTGAAACTTCTCAATGAGAAGCAGAACTTGGTGACACAACAAATGCTTGTTATTCTAGTTATAAATGGAAATATGAAATAGGTGAATTAGATCATGGCCTAGGGATGTACTGTGGAAGGAAATGAGGCCCAATTTCAAAAAGAAACAGCACAAAATAGCCATGGTTCAGCAGTAGAATGCCTTCCAGGCAAACATAAGTTCCTAAGTCAAAACCCTAGTATTGCCAAAAAGAAAACAGTGTATTGTATTTGTATACACACACATGTACTACATGCACACATGTATGTTACATGTGTGCATATATGTGCATACATACATATATGCACATATATAATGTAACATGTATTGTAATTCTGGTGCTGTAATTAGTAAAAGACAGGAAAAATACTGACTACACTTTTTTTTTTGGGGGGGGGTCAGTTGTTGGGCTTGAACTCAGGGCCTGGTGCTTTCCCTGAGCTCTTTTGCTCAAGGCTAGCACTCTCACTTTTAGCCACAGCTCCACATCTGGTTTTTGAGTTGTTAATTGGAGATGAGTCTCACAGAGTTTGTTCTGCCTGGAATGGCTTTGCACTGTGATCCTTGGATCTCAGCCTCCTGAGTAGCTAGGATTCCAGGCATGAGCCATCAGTAGGCCACACTTGTAAATGCTGACACTAAAAAATAAAATCAATCAATGAATAAATATATATAATAAAAGATGACACTGTCATTAGAAATTACTTTGTCTAACTATAATTAATCTTAATAATGATTGTGAATGCACATTAAACATTTCAAAGTTACTGTAAATTTTAGTTAATTAGATAGCAGAAATATATAAATAGAGGATCACAGGCTGGATATTTTACTCTGTCCCTTTATTATATACTTTCAAGTTGAATAGATATGGCTTTATTTATAATATTAAAGAATTAAAACATATATTAAATATCTGTAAAGTACTTTGAACATTTACCACCAAACTAGAGAATAGTCCAGTATTATACATGACTATAGTTCCCTTTAGTAAATGGCCAAAATCACTTTTTCTCAAAGCATGGAAAACATATTTTGAAACACAACAGGGCAGTACTCTTATGCTTAACTACACTTATTATAAGCACATTTAACTATGGCATGTATCTCCTTGTTTCAAATACTATTTTCTTATTGACTCTACAAACTATTTTCAAAGATTATAATTCAAAAACATTAGACACAGATGGAATTTCTATGTACAGAATAATTTTCAGTAATTTTAATTAAAATTGTAGTAGTGATTTTCCTTTTTTTTTTTTGCCAGTCATGGGACCTGAACTCTGGGCCTGGGTGCTGTCCCTCAACTGTTCAGCTCAAGGCTAGTGCTCTACCACTTGAGCCACAGCACCACTTCCAGCTTTTTCTGCTTATGTGGTGGCTGAGGAATGGAACCTAGGGCCTCATGCATGCAAGGCAAGCACTCTACCACTAAGCCACCTTCCCAGCCCCCTGATCCTCTTTTTTGAAGAAAATGTTGACTAAATATTAGCGTGTAATCCTTTACAAGGGATATTTTCCTCTATTAAAAAAAAAAGTCCTTAGAAAGCTAGACCTATAATTTGTCTCACAGTGTCATAATTTAATAGTGTTAATGCTAAATACTAAATAACTTGGCGGGGGGGAGGGGGGAGAAGGGGAGGAGATGGGAAGGGATGGGAAGGGGAAACAAAGGAGGAGGCAACAATGCTTGATAAGAAATGTACTCATTACCTTGCCCATTAATTGTAACCCCTCTATACAGTATTTTCACAAATAAAAAAAAAAGAAAAAAAAAACTCTGCTCTATTAATTCTGACCTAAAAACTTGTATCAAGATAGTGGCTTATGTCCACTCAGATAAAGCTCAAATCTAAATTTATCTATAATATAAATGAGCCAAAATAAATTAAGATCATAACAAGAATTGGAAGTATTTGGACAAACTTTGGATATTATTTTCAATCAGTTTTGTAACACTTTTAGAAGCACTAATTTATATACTACCACTTAGTCTGTGTCATTAAAACTAAGTCTTGCATCATTCAAATATAGATAACTCTTTATAGAGACAGTTCAGACCCTTAGATACATTTGAAGTTAAGTTGCATATACTTTCAAATCAGTACATTATGTCTCTCTAAAATTCCTATTATATCTGACCTCACTTATTCTGAGTTAGCAGAACTTTTAACTAGCTATCACTGGAAATCCCAGTCTGATGCCTATTAAACTTGAGTAACTGCAAGTGCCCTATGAGAGCAAATAAGTGCATTTACTTATGACTAGAAATAAGTTAAATTTACTCAACCTCTATATGAGCTATATTAACAAGGCTTAGTATCTAATATATTCTTACAACTTATTTCTTTTCATTAACATGATGGTCAGCCTACAACAATTAACTACATTTCTTTATAAGCTGGTGCTCATCAACACCAATGACAGGTAGTTGATATTTTATAGGTAGGTAAGAAACTGTTAAAAACAATACATAGTAAATTAAATGTAACTTACTTAGGGATTACAATATCTTGTACCTAGCAACAAGTAGGACAGATATTACCCACAAAATTCTATAGTAGTCATTCATAAATTGTATCACTAAAGACATGATTCTCAAGCCTAGTTCATTAAAAATTCTAACATAGGTTGGGTTGTAGTCCATTAGTCTGCATTTTAATAGACAACTTGGGTAATTATGCTGCAGGAGTCTAGGAGGTTGTTTACAGAAGACTTAGACTTACAAATCCTTTACCTATACATAGGATTTTTAATATAGATATCCAACCCTAAGAGTCTAATGATTTTATCAGATTTTTCAAAGACAGTGAAGATACATAGATAAACACAACAAATCACAACCACATAATCATGTTTTCTTTTAGACCTACTAGTTTTTCTTATATTTAGGTGTAGATAGTACCTTGGAGTCTTTGTACAATCATCAAAAATTCACAGCTTTATTACATCAAAGTTTCTTTTTCATCTAAGAAATTTTAAGAACTATACTTGTTTTATTTACCTTTTGGAAGTTCCTACTTCATCTTCCAAGTTTATTAATTTTCTCTTACTTGTAGAATTTCATAGTTTTAAAAAATAATACAATGGGCCGTGGTAATGTGAAATTTTAAAACTATCTTTGTATTGAAAAGGTAGCTTAAATATTTTTAGGTATCCAAATGATATTATTTAAAAAATTAAAAATTGAAGTTCCATATGTTTTATTCATTGTTGTGAGAAACATTTTATCTTTAAGAAATCATAAACTTCTTTTTTCCACAAAGAGGCATAAGCTCATCCATCACATAAAACAGAATCCAACTTTGAAATGTCTTATGGATACTAAAAATAAATGGTAAGAAAAAGTCAACAAAGGATAGAAATGTATAATCACTTAGGGAAAAGAAAAATTATATTTTTCAGCATAGTAACATAACCACATATATTCTGATTATGATAAGTATTTACTATTTATATCCATATTTTGTGAAAGAAGTATTTTATATCTTCTTAGAGCAAAACTACTATATATTTATCTTATCTACAAAACTATTCACAAAGGCTTAGTAAGCTAAAAGTTAATTGGTTCAGATCTTTTATATTTCTGTTCATAATTAAACAACAAACTAAAATGCATTAGGTTCAACTTATCTATCTTTGCCACTCTCTCAGATTAATATACAAAAAAAGAGAAATTTTACTTGTTAAAAGACCATATTAGGAAATGTATAATCCTAGCACCGAGACAGTAGGATCTTCTCAGTTCATGGTCAGTCAAGGATATATAAAAAGACACAAGTCACTGCTTCCAGAATCCACAAAAATCAAACCAAAGAAATCCAACCATCCAAAGCAAACCAAACAGCAAAAACAGAAACATCAAAACTAAAAGACTCGACTATTCTATGAAAAGACCTCAATGTAAATGTCTTTCCTGTTAGTATATTAATCTCAGATTAAGGATAAAGTCTGTTCTCCTTAAAGACGTTCAAGTATAAGTTTACATTAGATTCTTTTGTTGGTACTTTTACAGGAAAAGAAAAAAACATAAGAGGGAAGCAGAAGAAAAGCAATAGAGACAGGCATCATTTGCTTTAGAAACAATAGATGGAGAGTAAGGGACGTCTGGCTTCGGAGCTGTTATCCTTCTTGTGATAGTGAGGAAGGAGCAAATTGAAAATGGATGATTTTGAGAAAGGCAAGAAGATTTTTGTTCAGAAGTGTGCCCAGTGCCACACTATTGAAAAGGGAGGCAAGCACAAGACTGGGCCTAATCTCCGTCGTCTGTTTGGTTGGAAGACTGGTCAAGCAGCTGGATTCACTTATACAGATGCCAACAAGAACAAAGGAATCACCTGGGGAGAGGATACACTGATGGAGTATTTGGAGAACCCCAAAAAGTACATCCTTGGAACAAAAATGATCTTCGCTGGCATTCAGAAGGGAGAACAGGCAGATTTGATAGCTTATCTCAAAAAAGCTACAAATGAGTAATAGTCACTGCCCTAGTTATTTATTGCTAAACAAATATCTCATGCTTTTTAATGTGTACCATACTTCAACTGATTTCTAATATCAGATTTCAGAGCATGAATGGCTGGCAGAATATTTTTGGACAGTCCTGATTTAAGTAAAACTGTCTCTGGCTAAGTGAATATGATCTTAAAAAAAATACTGTCACAGGGCTGGGAAGGTGGCTCAGTGGTAGAGCGCTTGCCTTGCATGCCTGAGGCCCTGGGTTCGATTCCTCAGTACCACATAAGAAAAAAGCCAGAA